GGACAACTCAAAACGTACAAGGATATTTTTCAAGAAAACTTAAAGGCATAAGCATGCAGAATCAGTGGGAAGAAGCAGCGCACAACAGAACGCAATGGAGAATTGTCAACTCAGTTTGCAATTCATAGCGAACATAAACTCAGCGTCAACCAAAAAGTAAAGAGACAACAAATGTTGATCCGGAACGCTGAAAAGAGATCACGTATCGGGCTTTTTTATGAAAGAAAACGCCGTGTGTAACCATCTTATGATGCTTGGCAGTTACTCGTCAGCGAGTAATGGCAGTAGTAGTAGCAATTTTTAATCTGTTTTATTCCATAGTTAACCAATAAATTCTTCTTTGTTTTTTTAAACTCTTTTTTGTTTTTTTCTTATGCGATACTTGTCCATTATTGTTTAGGCTCTTCTAGCGTCCAATCTTTAATGTTGCTTGTGCTGACTCTTTGGTGATTATGCCGTTGCTGTCAAAGAAATATAATTATAAACTACGTATTTTTATTTCTTATTACTCTGAGGTAGTGGCTGTAAGCTTATCTGTCCATGGATTCTCGAACACTTTTGTTTTGTCGTAAGTGAAACTCGATCGAGTGGCGGCTAAAGATCTTTCGAACCGATGGACAACTTTTGCTTTTTCATCCCGACTATGGGAACACAAAAAAAGGACTGGTTATTCGGAGGCGCCCGCAGCAAAGTCTCCAAACTGGGAGGCCTAAATACTGGCTAAAGGTTTAAATAGACGTAGTACTGTGACGGCAAAAGCTCTTCTTTTCACAAAAGAGATATTGTACGTAACCACAGTGGCGGCTGGTGCTAAAGAGCACAAGGGTACGACGTATCTACATGCACCCAACAGCCAAGATAAAAAGAATAAAATAATTGATTATTGCCTTCAAGAAGAAATTATTCTTGTAACTTCTGGGGTCAAATATGGGAAACATTCCCTATAAATGTTTGCCAAAAGTTACTTTCTGTAGCATGCATGAGAATGTGTTCAAATAATACAAAAATAGTGTTAAACTTTTTACGTTTTTTTTCAAATCTTGCATGAAATTTTAAAGGAAGCCGTAGTAATAATGTTGGAATAGTCGAAAAATGTTTAAGATGTGTTTTCAAACTAAGAATACTTCTTAATTTGGATATGTTTAGGGAGGTAAATATACAGGGTGTCTCAGATTTTAATCGGGAAAATTTAATAGACGATAGAACTTGCAAAAATAAAACAAAAAGTTCATATCAACTAATAAGATTTAAAGCTTCCTTTTCGAGATACAGAGTACCATTAGAATACCAATTATAATATTAATTACCAATTAGAATTTTTTTTTGCAAGAAGTAAGCAAGATAAACAAAAAAGTCAGGAAACAAAAAAATAATATTTTTAATTACTAAACAAAAATAATATTAAACTTTAAGAAAGCAGTGGTGTGCCTATTTGTCCTTTAAAATAATTTAACAGTGATGCCCCACCGCCGCCCCTGGCCATTAAACCTAAATCTAATTACACCAAATTAAGTCCCATAGTAAGTATTATAAACGGGTCAAGTTATATCAAAATCGATTAAATAGTTTTTCAAATATCTTAATTTTTTTTTCTTTTTTAAGTAACTTTAACACCCTGTATCTCGAAAAGGAAGCTTTAAATCTTACAAGTTGATATGAACGTTTTGTTTTATTTTTGTAAGTTCTATCGTCTATTAAATTTTCCCGATTAAAATCTGAGACACCCTGTATATTTCTTTCAACTCAATTTTGGACAATCATAAATTAAATCAAAATAATAAAACACACATTTGAATAAAATTGTTCTACTGTTAACGGCGTAATTGACAGCTAAGTAAGTCCACAAGAATACAGGGCTTAGAACATTTTGTGTTACAAGAGTACCAAACCAAACCAAACACTTTTAACACTGGACGTGCGTTTCGTTCACCAGTTTCGTTCACCAAACTCAACAGTTTTGATCATCATCTGTCAGATTTTTTTTCAATATTTTTATTAGAAAATAGTACACTATTTGTCGGTGCAGTATTAACTAGGACTTAATATTCAAAGCAATATTTCTATGAGACAATTATTGTTTCTTTATAAAATGTTATTTGGCTTTAAATTACTTGAACATTAATTTTTAAAGATTTTCCTTCTAGAAATTGCCTCCAGTATAAATTTATCAAAATAGTGGAAGACTTGCAAGAGTCTTGCAGCATGATCAAGACTAAACACTGCAGGACCAAGAATACTTATTAGACTGCACGACCAAGACAAATGGGGGATTGGTAATGCATTTGCTCATCGCTACTCCAAATTGTTCTTCTTTTTCTTCTTCTTAGAGTGTCATACTCTATACAGAGCGTCAGCTACCTCTCGCATGTACTTGTGATGTGATCGCCGAATCCTAATGGCAGTATTTGAGAGGCTGTACAAGGCAAATATATTCGAGGTGGTTTGCCAATCCCTTCTTTAAGGTGGCGGCTCGCTGGTTGCTCTATTTAGACAAATAAATATAACGGCTTTACTGGCTGAGGATCGAATCCAGTACCTCTTGCACTGCAGTCGACACACTACTACTGGCCATCCAAATTGTCAGACTGTTTAAAATGGATATGACAGGAGATAGTAATCTAGATATAAGAAGAGAACTTTGAAGCTCTATTTAATTTCCCAATTAGAAAGACAATCTAACTCCATCCATTGAAAGGTCATTGATAGGGGCGCTTACCCCCAACCCTCCTATATATCCGCCTCTGGTGTAAAGATTGAAGTCTGCGACAAACTGAAACGTCTATGGTTAGTTTACAAAGGGCCATGACTTGGCTCACCGCGCGGTGTCCGATTCGGGCGAATCCATTTTAAAAGTCGATGGGAACCAGCCGATATTACCATAGTCCATTATATTCGTATTTTAAGAAGCGAGATGGACCGGGGCCTATTTAAATTTATATTTATAACGCGACATGGGAATTATTCCGTAATAAGGCAGTCTACGTCCCATTGTTCCTTTTCTTATTTGTCTGGAGAAAACAGACGCTATAAAATTTTAACAATTGGTGATGAACTTGTAAGGAAAGTGTGTCGGAGAAGGCATTTTTCTTTCACCATGCTCATAGTTTTCTTAAAATTTAAATATTTTTTATTCGAAAATATGATGTATAAAGACAGCGCTCTGAGAAAAAGCACTACATTAGATTTTCTAATTGAGATTTTCACTCTAGTCTTTTTCTAAATATGCGGGAAGAGTTGTCTACATTTTTAAGGGTTTTAGTGTAGTTACTGCAAAATGAATTTACGATTGTTCTACATAATACTTACGTTAAAAATATACATCTGTGGCGGATTCATCTCTTTAAAAAAGTCCTATGGGTATATCATAAATCTACAAAATAAAATAGTTATCTTCTGCGTTAATCCAACGGAGACCAGTGATTTACTAATAAACAAATTTGCTTCAGACGAAAGGAAGAGATATACCTACTTCCCGAAACGTTAAGCATTTTTTGTCTGTTAGGCAAATTTGTCAAAACAATACAAACGTCAAATTACTACTACTACTTACCACTGCTATTACTCGCGATAGTAACGCAAGGCGTTTTCTTCTATGAGCTTTTCTGTGACTGATACGTGATGTTATCTCCCTTCCGCACTCCGGATATTCAAAAATCTCATTGCTTTGTCGCCTCTTTACTCTTTGGTTAGAGCTGTTAACTGAGTTTACAATTCTTCTCCATTGCGTTCTTTTTTTGGTAGGCGATTTTCTTACATCCTGCATACGTGACCAACCAATCTTAAGCGGGATTTAGTTATCATGACTTGCTTTCATTTTTTGAGACATAGTGGAACCATTTGATTCTTAAGAGTTGTCTAAGGTGTCTCTGTTGCAACTTGTTTAATGCGTTCATGTGTCAGCGGTACGGCACTCAGGTTTCGCTTCCATACAACATGGTGGGGATTATTATTGCTCGATACACTGCAAGTTTCATTTTTGTGCTCAAGTCATGATTGTAGAAAAACCTGTCTTTTAATTTCCAGAATGATCTTGTGGCGCTGCTAACCCTGTGTTGAATTTCAGAGTCGATATTGGCCTTTTCCAAAATCAAACTGCCGAGGTAATTAAATTCCGCTACATATCCCAATAGTTCTTCTCTGATTTTTATAGCATTATTGTGATCTTCCGGGGGTGTGCGCATGATATTTTAGTTTTATCGATGTTCAGCTTAAGGCCCAAAACCTCGGACGCCCAGGTATATGTGTTCAGCATTTCTTGTAATTGCTGTAAAGTTTTTGCAACTAGAGCACAGTCATGAGCGTATTGAAATTCTGTGATGAATTTTATACGTATTTTTGCCCTGATTTTTTATGTTGAACAGACCGTTGTCGTATCTGTATCTAATTCCTCTTCCTCTTTTCTGCAGTTTGCTGTCCACTATAATGGAGAGCGCTGTTATGAATATGTTGAATAGGAGAGGCGCTAAGACACATCCCTGCCTAACTCCTATATTTGTTAGGAACGGATCGCTCAGTGATCCATAATGGTAACACTCTTGACTTGTTTTGGAGGCTTTTACACACTATAAGAAATTTGTTGGATACTCCGAACTTTTTCATAATTGCCTAAAGTGCATCCCTGGGTGCGTCTGTAAACGTTAAATTAACAATACCCGTTCACAATTACTTAGCAACTTTTTTTTCAAGAAATAAACCCTCCCAACCTATACCCAACGTAGTTGTAGTTTGTTTCATTAATTCCAGCTTTTCCAAGTGCATAAATATTTGTATGTACATACGTACACCCATACTATTTTTAAACTTAAAATATATAGTAGATATATAAATTTGAAACTAATATTTATTTATAATTATGACTTCATCTATTTATAACAAACATTTAGGAGAAAATTGAACATTGTACGAAATGCATATTTCTAATGAATTTATTAGATCAAAAGCCAGGTTCACAGTTTTCTTTGAATGTTATTATTAATAAAACATATATACTAAGTACTATATCATTTTGACAGCACACCCAGCATGTTTGTTATTGTATTAACTTGATAACCTCTGATCTATTAAATTAAAATCACCATTAACACGACGAAGTTCAGTAATAATTAAACATCGTTCAAAACGAGTGCCATAACCTCAAATATGGGTAGAACTTGTTTAGTTTGTGTAGATTTCTGGAAGAAATTTATTTGTTCTTTGTTTGTTGTGGTTGTGCTTCAAAGCGGGATGGTCTTCAACACCGAAGTTTTTGAACTTAACAATAAGTGCTCTTATACGATGAACAAAATAATATTGACATGCGTTGGTTTAGAGGTGGTGGATAATAGTTTGGAACCGTTCGTAACCAACTCTACCCAAATATTAATTTTAAAAAATTGCAAGAACATTACTTTGGCAGAAGATGCTATATTTCATAACAAACATCCGAATTTAAAAACCTGCCAAATAATATCCAGCCTTAGTCTTGCTCTTAGCAAGAATGCCTTTTTTGGACTGGATAATTTAAAATATCTACAGCTTAACAAGAATCCATGGAAAGAAATACCAGAAAATACTTTTAAAGGTAACATTCCAATATTATACACTCAAATGCCAAAAAAATCGCAACGGAGAATTTTTTCGTCAAGTTTAAGTGATATATTTTTTTTACTTTTTGCCCTATTTTCATGAATTTTTTAACAAACTATATATATATATAAATCTATCAACTTTAATTCATAAAATCAGTTTTTTATTATATATTATTATGTTTTTTTTTATTATATATTTGGCTTATTATAGAAGGTTAATTGAAGGGTTGTTTTTTTACCCTAAATTTAAGACACCCAGTGCAATAATTTCGTGAGTACCTTTTTCTAAAACATTATTTTTTTTCGATCAGAACCATGCCTCCTGAGCATTTTGTTTTTGACTCATGTCAACACATGCTTTTAATTTTTAATAGCGAAGTGAACTCGCCACCAATTTAGAATTAGAATTAGAATGAGTGGGAGGGGGGTTAATCACTACGACCTTACAGATCTATTGTGTCCCCCTTTCTTGAGTTATAACTCATCATACAGTCCCAGGGCTTTGACAAAAGCCAGTATCTGGGACGGTTTTATAGAGGGTAGTTCTCCATCTCCAATATCAGTCGTACCAAAGTTCATGGTACGAATGGTTGTCGTCTCGGCGCACTCAGTGATGAAGTGTACTGGTGTTTCCCCACTTTCCCCACAGAATCTGCATTCGCCGTTTCTTCTTAGTTTCAATCTACTGAGGTGTTCATTGAGGAGACAGTGTCCTGTTAAAAACCCCGTGACAATCCGAAGATTGTTCTTACTTAAACCCAGGAAGATCTTTGATTTTTCTTGATCGTAAGCCCTCAGAAACTTCTTCGAGTGTCCGCCACCAATAATTTGCAATTTTTTCAACTATCCTTACTTTATGATGTAATTTTTTCATATCGCGAGGTGGCTTTGGTGGCTAAAATTATCGTAATGACATATATCGACACTGATTAGAACTCAATAGAATATTAAAATTTAAAAAACGTTAAATAGTTACGATACAGGCTTGGTTTTTATAAATGTTAGTAACACTAACAGAACTAGGTATATTAAAAAAATGTAATAACTAAGTGTACAGGGTGGGCCAAATTAGACGCTTTTAAAGGGAAACAACCCTTTTCTATAGGAGATATACAAAAACTAATATCGGTGTCTCTCTAATATCAGCTCAATTTTTATCAAAAACATGATGGTGAAAACCGCATATCGATATCTATTACCGTTTCGGAGTTATGGGGTGTTTTTCAAAAAAGTGCATTTTTAACTAATTGCTGTAACTTCTTTGCTATGGAAAATGTTGTATTTGCATGAAAATATTTCCAAAGCACCTTTTTACGTAGAATTTAATGGTTTAAGTATACTTTTGTTAAAATTAATAATTAAAGAGTTATCAACAGAAAACTTGATTTTTTATATGGGACACCCTGTATATTTTTAATTCATTCAAAATAATTTAAAATTACCTTTCCAAAAATATAGCACACTTGATATTTTTCTCGATTCCTCTTCGAGATATAGAGTTTTTAAAAATTCCCCCATTTTGAATAAGTATATAGGCTTTGAACACGCCGGCTGTAATGCAAAAAACTCTAGCTGTGAGCAGCAATTAAAACGAAAATAATATTTGCAATCAGAGAAGTAGTATTTTATAACAATTTAAACATTTTTATCAACATCAACATATTTAAACTATACCCAATAACAATAAAAATAATAGCAAACCAAAACATAAGATTTTGCTACAGGTGTTCGATATATCGACCGACTTCTGTTATGGACAAACGGGGCCGTTTTTGAACATTTCTCGTGGAATTCATTAACTCAGTGGCGGTGAAAGATACCCTCGCATAACCGCTAAGTATTTCTAATTTTTGTCTAGATTTTCGGGCAATTTAAAAATAAGAACCTTTTTGTTCTTCCGCAAAGATATCCATAGGATTAGATCCATAAGCATTAAGTCCGGCTGCCTGGACGGCCAACGGCTGGGATCTTGGTTAGCTGTTCAATTATTTTCGAAATTGGCTGAAAAAAATTGCAGATAGCTTCAGCGTTCTGAGGCGGTGCCTCGTCTTGTTGAAAAATATGTTTTCGAGTTCCATTAGGTTCATACAGTTAATGAGGCTGCTAATATATTTTGTTATGTTTTCCCATTCTTCTTCAAGGACCAAGCGAATATTCATCATTTCGGCCATCTTCACCAAGATCAATGACTTTTGCATAATCTTCGACACTAACAATCATACACAACAATAATTTTGTTATCAAAGCCACCTCGTCATTATGAAGAATAACATCAAGAAGTAACAACAATTCAAAAAATTACAATATGTTTGTGGCAAGTTCATTTTGCTCTTAAAAATTAACTAAGACATGTGTTGACATGAGTTAAAAAAACAAAATATTCAGGAGACATGGTTCTGGCCGAAAAATAATGTAGGAAAATTTGTTCACGAAATTATTGCACAATTTGTTTTAAAAATAGTGTAAAAATAAGTCTTCGATTAACCCTGTATAATAAGTGAAATATTAAAGTTTATAATAAACTGAGTTTACGAATTAAAGTTGATATATTTATAAAGGATGTTTCAAAACAAATGCGAAAAACTTCAGGGGGTGATTTCTTGTTCAAAATAAAGGGTAGTTTGCTTTATAAACGTTGGGTCAAAAGTCAACCACTAGGGAGATATCGCGGTACAAAGATGGCGGAAAAATAATGTTTTTATTTTTTATCTTGAAAACGAAAAGCGATAGACTAATGAAATTTTATGGAAGCATTATTGTTATGAAAACACACTTTCTGGTAATTTTCTCACTTTTTTAAAATGAGTGGAAGGAGTTGAAATAAACTACCCCTATCATTCTTGTTAACGAAATTTAAAGAAAAATCTTATCAAACACAGGCAAAAAAATTAATTTGGATAGTTTAGTTTGTTTAGAAACTTTTTATTTCTTGTATTTTTTTAATAAAACTCACCGATTTGAAATTAAAAAATAAAATGTAAATCATTACATGTCAGGACTCCTTTTTTTACGCAATTAAATAGATCATAAAAAGGCTTCGGAATAATTAATTGATAGTAAGATAATAACGTATTGCAGTATAGTAACGTGAAATAAAATAATATTAGAAAGATCCTAAAAAGTCCCAGCGGGCGATTAGATTTTTTCATAAAAAAATTACAGCAGCCCACTAGGTTCTTTATCTATAAATGTTTTTGTCCTGACATGTACTGCTTTACATTTTATTTTTAATTCCAAATCGGTGAGTTTCATCGAAAAAAAAAGACAAGAGATAAAAAAGTTTCTAAACAAACTAAACTATCCAATTTAATTTTTTTGCATGTGTTTGATAAGATTGTTGTTTAAATTTCATTAACAAGAATGATAGGGGTAGTTTATTTCAACCCCTTCCACTCATTTTAAAAAAGTAAAAAAAATACCAGAAAGTGTGTTTTCATAACAGTAATGCTTCCATAAAATTTCATTAGTCTATCTCTTTTCGTTTTCAAGATAAAAAATGAAAATATTATTTTTCCGCCATCTTTGTACCGCGATATCTCCCTAATGGTTAACTTTTGACCCAACGTTTATGAAGCAAACTACCCTTTATTTTGAACAAGGAATCACCCCCTAAAGTTTTTCGCATTTGTTTTGAAACACCCTGTATACAGTTTGCTAAAAAAATCAAGGAAATAGGGCTAAAAATAAAAAAATATAATATTTTAATTTAGACCAAAAATTTTTCCCTTGCATTTTTTTGCATCTGAGTGTAAGTTTTCTAACTAAAATATTTTTATATTTTAGATTTATCTGATTTGGAGGTATTAAATGTAGCAGATAATAAAATCAAATTATTAAACAAAAAGAGCTTTGCAAATCTTTTTCGATTAAAAAGTTTGGATTTATCGCAGAACAGTTTGGAAACTTTACCTTCGTATGTTTTCGAAAACTTAATGGAACTGGAAAGTTTGTACTTGAATGAAAATAAGATTCAAATAATCGACGAACATACTTTTTGGGGCTTACCTGCTTTAAACATTCTGTTTTTAACAAAAAACAATCTGGAAACAATAGACTGTGAAGTTTTTAATAACTTGAGGAATCTGGAGTATTTATATTTAGATTATAATAATATAACTTATATTTCCGGAGAGCTTCGGCTTTCCAAGCTAAGGTTTTTACAGCTTAATAATAATAACTTAACAAATTTACCTGATAAGGTTTTTGAAAAATCCAGTAACTTAATATCAATAGATTTATCTCATAATAAGTTAGAAAATTTGTCAGAAATTCCTTTCTTAAAATTGACTGGTTTACGACATTTAAATTTATATGGAAACCACGTTTACATGGATATGTTTAACAGCTTAAAAAATTCTACGTTTATAACTCATGATTACCATTAAATAATTATTAAGTTACCGTTACTTTATTTAATTTAGTTACCTCAAATTGTATAAACTTAAGATTGTTTAATTTATTTAACTATATTTTGTAAATACGTTGTTCTGTGTTTTTTAATAAAGAAACCGTTTAAAATGTATTGTTGTTTATTTTACTAAAATGTTAGAGATAAAATAATAAAAAAATATTAAAGATTAAAAATTGAATTACAATAATTGTGAGAAAAAAAATGTCATGTAAAACCCTAATATGTTAATAATGCAATGTCTGTATTCCCAAACATACTGATTCTTGTGATATTTTAACATTCTGTGTCTAATTTCTTAAATACTATACATATAGAGTCTTTAATAAGTGCAAATATAATAAAAGAAACATATTTTCCCTTTACCGTTTTTCAAATAAGTCTAAAATATCCAAGTTATTTTACTTTCAAAATTAAAAAAGCATTTTTTTGCTTAAATTTTGAGAACCAATGGATTTTTTTCTAAATTTAATCTACTACCTATGTTACTATATTATTATCAAGTATATACAGGGTGGTCCGAACTGTATTCCGGAAACTTCGGCAGCATATTCTGTATTACAGCTGAGGGTTGGAACCTTTGGTGTTACACAGCAAAATAAAAACACTAAATCACCACAATACACCAAAACACTTTTAGTTTTACACTGGACGCGCGTTTCGCTAACCATGTTAGCATCATCAGCAGATGATTATAAACTGATTTTTTTAGTCTGCTGATCATGCTAACATGGTTAGCGAAACGCGCGTTCAGTGTAAAAGTAAAAGTGTTTTGGTGTATTGTGGTGATTTAGTGTTTTTATTTTGCAGCATATTCTGTAGATAAAAATAAGTAAAAATGTTCGTATAAATGTATGTCCTAAAGTGCTCAGTTTCGGAGATATAGGGTGTAGAAGTTTCATTTTTATTTCGATTTTTTCCAAATAATTTCTCAAGTAAAGTCAATATTTGGATGAAAATTGGTATCGGGGAGTATTTTGAGATGAGAAATTTGATTTTGATGTCAATATTACTCCTATTTCGAGGGGGCGCCACCTATATATGTTTTAACTCTTTTGATGAGTAATAACTTTTCGTCCGTACCTGTATAAAAGCACTGAATGAAAGAATATACATTTCCGTGATTTTTTATGTAAATAATGCCTCTTGGTAAAAATCGCTAAAAGCAACCGTTCTCAATATATTTAGAATGAAAATAGTCAATACATGTCTTGATTGACAAAAAATAAACATGTTGAGTAGATATAGTTTTTTGATTGAAATGATAAATTTGGAATTTTTTTTTTAATTAATATTTTTTTTTCGAAAAAATGATGATATAACAATTTCTGTTGAACTTTTGGTACAAAAAAATTTCAAATTTATGATTTCAATCTAATAACTATTTAGTAAACATGCTTATTTATGTCAGTTATGACAGGTATTGATAATTTCGGTTCCAAATATCTCGAGAACCATTACTCGTAATGATTTTTACCAAGAGACCTTTTTTACGTAAAAAATGTTGTAAATGTATATCTTTTACTCAGTAGTTTTATACAGTAACGGACGAAAAGTTATTACTCTTCAAACCAGTTAAAAAATATGTAGGTGGCGCCCTCTACAAGTAGTAGTCATATTGACATCAAAATCAAATTTTTCATGTCAAAAAACTTCTAGACGCCAATTTTTATACAAATATTGATGGTTAGGAAACTTAATATTTCTTATAAAATTATTTTCTTTTATGTAATTTCTTAGATTAAGATTAATTATTTTAATTTCTTTAAATTTTAAATTGCCGCATTTATACCTGCTTCCTGCAACATTAGTGTACGCATGCCCGAACACTAGGAAGTGTGGCACACAGTCTATTACAAACCGTCGTACGACGAAATTGGTCAGCTAACCGGTACGCGCCGAAAGTCTGAACTTAAAAGTTAAATCCCTTCAAAGACGATTCATGTTAGTGTATGTGTGAAAATTAGCGCCGAGAAGATCAAGATCGAGAAGAGGGCCCTCTGAAGCTGCCTGAGACGACCATTAAAGGTAGGAGCAGGTTTCTCATTTCTCTGTGCGGTTTCTCCCAGCTATTAACGTAATTTACATTGATAAAATAAGACCAGTCAAACTAAAATTTAAAATTAATACAGTCCACAACTGCATTTCTGCACAATTGATGTTACTTCACAAATTATTTGGAAAAAATCGAAATAAAAATGAAACTTCTACACCCTGTATCTCCAAAACTAAGCATATTAGGACATACATTTATACGAACTTTTTTACTTATTTTTATCCGCAGAATATACAGCCGAAGTTTCCGGAATACAGTTCGGACTACCCTGTATACCTTAACTAAAAATTAAAAAAAATCCACTTCTTTTATTCGAAAAATACAAAATTTCTTTCGCGAAAAAACCTCGAACGAGGTGTTTCTGAGGTTGAAATATATCAAGCCTAAAAATATTTGCCTTTATTTAATACCTACCCTGTATAATTATAAAAAGATAATTATTTTAACTTTTATTATGTCATTTTTTATTATATTTATTATTTATAATTATAAATTACCTACGTCAAAAGCAAAAATATAAATTGCAATTTTACAGTCAATTATAAAATGACATTGACATTGACATTAATTAGAAAAATAGTTAATTATAAAGGGTTGCCTAGATTATCGACAATTTATTTCTATATTTATAGAGTATAAATTAGTATAATTCTTAATATTTTTTTCCTCAATGGTCTTGACATAAAGTTTTAATTCGAAAAGTACAATTTTTTAATTGGTATACCGGATGCGTCTCAAAACTGGCTCACCCCTATAACTTTTTTATTTTTTCAGTTAAAAAACCAGATTTGGTATGTTAGTATATGACATAAATTAGGATTGATTGACGTATTCAATTGTTTTCGGTCACTTCCTGTTTCATCGGAAATGACTACAACTTTTGATTTTTCAAAACTGCTATTCAGCACTTGCCCGAGGCTTCTAAAGTATTTACAAGAGAGGCTTGTAGAAATCAGTTATCAAAAAATATCGTTTCAAGTAATTCATTAAAATCTAACAAAGAGCATAATATTGTCAAGAGTTTGCGTAACAAAGATTGTTTCTATCTAAAAGCTGATAAGGGAAATAAGGTTGTTATATTAGATAAAAAAGACTATTACGATAAGGTTAACAACTTAATCGATAATGGCCCCTACATAAATTTGAAAAATAATCCTTTGTCTAAGATGGTAGCAGACGTTAAAAAAACTCTAAAAGAATGTAACACCCTTATTGATCTTTCTTTAAAGAGGAAATTGCAAGTATCCAATCCCTCATTACCAAAATTGTATGCTTTGCCAAAAATTCATAAACCGGACAAGTCTATGCGCCCAATTGTTTCGGCTGTAGGTTCTCCGACTTATAATTTGGCAAAATGGTTATCAAGGAAGTTCGAAAATTTACCTGATCATGAACCTTCTTTCTCAGTTAAAAATAATATTGAATTCATTAACAAAATTTAAGATATAACATTGCATGAAGGTGAAATTTTGGTCTCCTTTGATGTATCTTCGTTGTTCCCAAGTGTTCCAATTCCACATACTTTAGGCTACTTAAAGGACATACCTGGATAAGAGACGCAAATTAAACATTTCGCTTGCTTTACGAATGCTCGATTTATTCTGCAGTACTTCTGCGATTCATAAACTTCTTGACTAGTTGTACCTCTTTCTGTTTTTCATTTATTGTTTCTCTACAACAAAGAATATTTAGAATTTTTAAAATATGAAGACGAACGGTACAATAAAAGGCATGGTAATTTTTTGGGGTAAGATGTTACATGTAACAACTTACCCCAAAAAATTGTAACTACCTGCCCCATGGCACGTTTTTAAATATAAATTGAAGTCAGCATTAATGAATATCGATAGTAGAAAAAAACAACATTGCAAATTAAAGGTAGATATATTATGAACGTTCAAGGTAAACATTTGAGAAAATAAAAAGTATAGACATCAGGAATCAAAAATTTCGTAAAAGATTTGTTTACTTACTTGGTTCAAATCGAGACACATGCACACAACTTAGCAGCTTGGCGCTTGGCGAGTCACTGATCATTTTTATGTAATGCACAATGTTATAAGAAAACAAATGAGTCCACTTATGTCCATCAAAGAGTTTAAAATCTTGGTAAAAAAAGCGTGGAACTTCTTACCCGTGTAACAACGTGCCCCCCGCTCCCCTACTGCAGTTTTAGTACCATGTACCATATACGGGATGGGTCTACACTTAGTTTTTCCTCGAATTTTCCTGCACACAAAACACACCTAATATCATAAACCAAAATGCAAAGGCAATATTGCAAATATATATCATTTTTCAGAACACTGGTTATTTGATATAATTTGTCAAAAATAATAACATTTAATTTGACAAGAGTTTGACAAGTTTCAAAAATCAAGTACCGTATAGAACGTCAAGTACGTATAGAACGTGTCGAGACATACGTCGTTCATCGTTCTGTCACTCTAATCATATTATATTGAAATATAATGTGTCACTTTTAAAGTAAAACAAAAAGACCCATAGTTAACTTATAAAAATTTATTAAGAACTTTTTTTAATTAAATAATTGAATTGCTATGGACCATGATGAATTGATTGAATTTTAATATTCGCGTTGTGTTAGGAAAATTATGAAGTCGCGTCGTAGCGACGTCAATTATTGGCTAACAAAGGCAACCTTTAATTTTACGAACTGTTGCGTTGTTTGGGAGTATACATATTATTTAGTTCTTCTTTAGGTGCATTGTTCATATAAAAATGCGTATTTCCGGCGGATACGGGTTTGGTAATCTAAGTGCTCTACCTGAATAAATAATGGTAAAATTGCCGCTGCTATAGTTGTGATGGTTACGAAAATTGAATCTGAAAATGTTGAGCAATAATACCGGATTTAGTTAAATAGGAAAATTGTAGGTTATCTCCGTATAATTTATTTTGCTCTTTTGTGAGTTTTGATAATGCGTAATTAAATATAAATTAGCGAATATTATAAATTAAGGTTGCCAATTATATGTTTTTTTTTTAATTAAACTAATGTTTTAAGGATT